GGGATTTTCAGTTGGAATGCCTGAATATATATATAGATCAAATTGGGAAGAATTAGCTGTCGAGAATCTGCCAGTGATAATTTAGCTCAGTGGTTCTGCCACCTGAACCAAGAATCATTTAATGCTCCAATCCATAAACATGGTATTTCTCTAAGATTATTTAGATTCCCTTTTCAATGTTTCATAGCATTTATAGTTTTAAAAATATAGATCCTGGGCATATTTTAGTCATATCTAAGCTTACTTTATATTCATTATTAAGCTATTTACAAATTGAAAATTTTAATTTTTCACTTCTTATATATAGGAATATGATTAAGTTTTATTATCCTCATGCACTGCCACTTGCTAGGCTATTTTATTAGCTCTAGGAGCTTTGATGTACCTTTTGATATTTTCTATTTAGGTAATCATTTAGTCTATGGATTGAGGAAGGGTCTTTTCTTCCTTTCCAATCCATCTACCTATCCATCACTTTGCCTTATTTTCTGGCATGAGCTAGTACTTTCAGTGTAATGTTAAACAGGAATGACAAGAAAGGACATCCTTCTACCTCTCCAATTTTAAGGAAAACTATTCTTTCACTAAAAACTATGATGTCAGTGTAGACCTTTTCAGAGATGTCTTTTATCAAATTAAAGGAGTTCTGTTTTCTGTTTTCACTGTGAATGGATTTGAATGACACTTAATATTTTTCCAGTATCTATTGAGTTAATTATGTTTTGTTTCCATTTTTGTTGTTGGTCTACCAATATGGTACACTTATATAAAATTCACTTACATTGGATGTTGAACCCTTTGAATTATGAAATGAACCTCACTCGTTCTAACATGTTAGCTACATATACTACTGCATTTAAATTGAAATAAAAATTATTACCTGTGTTCAGAATAGAATATTGTGTATAGTTTGACGAGTTTTTATATTACTGCAGTGCATCTTTTTTCTCCTGATCCCTGAAAGACACTGTATGTAAAAGGTATTAGACCATCATTAAATGTTAAATTGAATCTAGAAATGAAATCTTCTAAGTATGAGTTTTTCATTTTGTGTAGGTTGTTATTTATAGATTCAATCTAATACATACAGACTTTAAGAACTTTCAAGTTGCACACATACATGTATAATTGTAAGTTTTAATAGTGTATATATTTCAAGGCTTGGTAAGTTTCATGTTGGTATTTTAATACCATGTAGGTATAGTATTATGTTCTGTATTCTTACTAGCTTTTAAGCAGTGGTGGAACAAGTAATTAGGTTATTTCTCTTATTTCTGATATTAGTAAACTTTTAGCTTCTCTCATTCTCTGTTATTTTGGTTTTTAACCAGGTTATAAACCTATCAATTCTACTGATCTTTTCAAGGAACCATATTTTCTTTTGAAAGATTTTTCAGGTTTTTGTTTTGTTTTGTTTTGTTTTTTTGTTTTTTTGTGTGTTTTTTTATTTATTTATTTTTTTTTTTTGATACCAGGGATCGAACTCGGGTCCTTGTGCTTGCAAGGCAGGCCCCCGAACCTCTGAGCTAAATCCCCGGCCCCTGTTTGTTTTTTTTTTTTTTTTCACATTTACTGAGTTCTGATAGTACATATACGACATTATTTTTTCCTTTAATTTTAGTTAGTTGTTTTTCCCCAGGTCATTAAAGTGAAGGTTTAGACTACTAATTCAAGACCTTTCTTCATTTGTGATATAAGTATTTAATATACAGTTTTCCTTGTAAGCAATGCTTTAGCTGAATCTTTCATATTTTAACATTTTTAAATTTTATTCAATCAATTTTCTTGGAGACTTCTCCTTTGACCCTTGGACTATTTAGAAATTAGTGGTTTAATACCACATGTTTGGGCAATTTTCTAGGTATCTCCTTGTGATTTCAATTTCAATACCATTTTAGTATAAGAACATGTGCAATACAATATGATCTCTCCCTCTTTCTCTTTCTCTATTTTTTACGTTTTGTTTTCAAATCTGTTTTGGTGAATGTTCTCTGTCACATTCACTGGGCCTGCCACTTGAGAACATTATCTCTTCTTGACATTTTTATTTCAATTCTCATGAACTTTTTTGGAGTGTGGGATGCAATAAAGCTCCCTGAACTGCATTATAAAGATCTTGGAGCTGAGAACTGTCATAAAACAGCCAGGCACGATTGTATAATAAGTTCATAGTCCCAGATCTCTGGGAGTCTGAGTTAGGGGGACTGCAAGTTCCAGGCCTGCATGGACAAGTTAGCATGATCCAATTGCAAAAAAACAAAACAACAACAACAAAATTGAACAGGGGAATGTAGTTCGTTGTGAAAGACTGGGTTTCCATGACAAGAACCTTGAAAAAAGAAAGGGAGAAAGAGAGATGAAAAAAAGAAAAAGGAAAGGCCTTGGAGACTGCAAAAGCAAAGTCATTGTTGTGTCTCTATTTTAATTTCTTTTATTCTTTATCCATATACAATGAAGTAGTTGCAGAAAGTGCACCGAGACCTTATTTCTTCTTCCTATCCTCTATTTAAAATTCAAGTGGCTTAGAATGGCAAACATTTTCTAAATTTCGCTGTATAGTTCTTTAAAGCCACTTTCAAACTTGTGTTAAATGAGAAAAATGAGATTTGGTTTTACCTCCAAAGAACAAATAATACAAAACAAACATATTGGACATATATAAAATCAGGGAAGGAAGGGGGAAAATTAAGCAGCGCAAAAGCGAACGTTTCTTTTTTACATAAACTGAATATTTATTGGCATATTTTAGATATAAAATACAGTTATATTCATCATTCATATCTTGTACCTTTACATGACATATCTTGGTTCTTCTTCTTTCCCCATTGCCCTAGCCTCCCTTCCTCCCTCCACCCTTCCCTGATTACAAAGACTTTGTTTCCATTTGGGAAAGGTAAAAAGGGAAGAGAAAAAAAAAAGGAATAAAATGGAAACGAAGTGAACATTTCTTGAATGAAAAAAACGTCAAAAGCAAATTTAATATAAACACCTATATAAATATTCTCCTATATGTTATCTCTAATTGTAGATGAGTGCAATTGATAAATATGAATTGTATATCTTATAATGTTTTTACTTGTATTCCCAAAAATATAAAAATACTGTTTGGTTATTTTCTAAATGTATAGACCATCTTTATTTTTGGAGCAATATCAAGTCATCTGGAAATCATTAAATGCTGAATGAAAAATTATTAAATCACACTTGACACTGTTGATAATTTCACCTACTTTTACAGTTTAAGAAGAGTAGGGCCAGAGGTTTGACTCAGTTGTACCACCACCACCTGCCTCACAAGTGCAAGGGCCTGAGTTTGATTCCCGGTACGAAAGAACAATATACTCAATGAGAGAGAGACACACACACACAAAAAAAAGAACAGTAGAGTTTTCTTGTCCTGACAATTTGTATTCTGTTTATGTTTTAAACCTCAAGAAAATGCTGTTTATATCTTACCTGAATCATTAAAAATTCCCCTCACATGTTTGCAATGCCATTTGCTGTTTCTGAGAAGATATCACCTTTATATTCAAATTTAAAATACTCTACATCTTACTTCTTTTTAGCAATGCATCACTGTATTGGAAAGAAAAGAGAAAATACTGTACTTGGTGGTGCCACTTAGTGCTTTTCAATTTCCTTCACCATATGTTATAGTTTTGCTGGAAATATCCTCTCTGCTCTCTCCTCAAGCTGCAAAAGAGGTAAAAGAAAACCTGCACTTGGTTGTTTGTCCTCAAATCAAGTGCTTGTTCTTGACCAGCTCTGTATAGGTTTATTTGCTGTATTCTAAATTACCTCACATGAATGTTATAATTATTTTTCCCTTCTCACTTTCTCCCTTTACATGGTAGTGTCTTTGAGGAGAAAGAATCATACAGGCAAAAAACATTTTCTGAGGGGAAACGTTTAACCTATCATTTCAGAGCACACTGCTCCCTAGACTTGCAGGTGGGCTTGCAGTCGATGCATTTGTTACACCGCGCGGGGAAAGTTGTCCTAGGGAGCTGTGACATTTATTCCACATTTTCAGTTCAACTTTCAAGGAAGCTCAGTCCACATCTCATTTTGGCAGGAACCAAAGGTTTTTCCCTGTGCAGAGAGATGTAGCTGGATTCGTGTACTGCAACACCCTCACTTTTGGAAAATCGGGATTATCTTTTTTTCAGCATCTTCAGGTGAACGTACAAATAAATAGCATGACATTGGCTAAATAATTTACCACTTCAGCTTTATAATACTCTTCTTGGTGTAAGGTATTTGATTACCACAAGTAGTTCTCTGATACGACTTTTCTCTCTGCTAAGCAAAAGAGAACCCAAACTGCCGTCAATGATTCTTTGACTACTTACAGAGGTGAACCTTAAAGTAAGTGAACTCATGGGACAGTATTTCTGAACCCGGTTTTTTTTTCACTCACAAAAACTTTTTCACGGGTAAATTTATATTGATACAATTTTCTTTTGGAGAGGGAGATATATTACTTTGAAAATTAGGGTTGCCAGGTTTAGTAAATAAAAATGCATAATGACAAGTTAAATTTGGCTTTCAGGTAAACAAAGAATAATTTTAGTAATTATTCCAAATATTACATGAATATGCTTTGATTAATTTTCACTAGAATTAAAATTGAGGGCCAGGATTTAGCTTAGTGGCGCCCCTGGTTACCTCACAAGCTCAAGGCTCCAATCCTGGATACCAAAAAAAAAAAAAAAAAAAAAAAAACA